TCCCAGCCAAGTGCTTCCAAAGTGGCCTTCACAATCTTTCCAACATGTGGCCGAGCGTTATCGTGCTGGAAGATCACTTTGTCGTGTCTCTTTGCATTATTACGTCCAGATCCTGAAAGGATGAGCTGTATGTAAGAACGTAACTTACTTACCCCGTGACACATTTTATTCGGGCGTGTGTATGGATCGGGTCGAACGTGAAGGGCCTGACACAGGTCAGCAATCGAAGGTCTCTTTAACTCTGCGTTTTTACGCCTATTCGTTCGGTCATCTCTTTTCAGTAAAGGAATTTAATCCGTGTTACGCGGAATAGGACCTAGTGCGATCTCAGGGTTTAGGGAAGAGAACGGGTTAAATAATTAAATTCTACATTAAATTAAAAAATACGTATATTATATAAAAAAAAATAAGGAAAGAAAAATACATCTTAGCAGTTGTAGTTATGCATGAGTGAGTATGTGTGCGTGTATGTATATATTCTCGAGTATGTGTTATAGTTAGAATTAAAATTTTCTAAATTCGGCGAAACACAGGTCCAAATTAAAATACAATAATAAAATTAAGATAAAAGATTCGCCAAGTCTAAGTTCGAAAATTATTCATCTATTTCAATGATTTCTCCCAAAGTAATGATAATACAAAGGAAAATAATATAAAGGGGAAGAAAGAAAAAAAAAGGAAAAATAATAATAATAATGCAAGGAATGGGAAATTAAAAGAAAATGAAAGGGAGTAAAGAAAAAGAATAGAAATGAAGAGTTAAATATATATAAAGAAGGCTTAAACGAAATATAAAGATAGAAAACAATATGAATTCTTGGTAAATAAATCAGAAAAGGCAACTAAAAGGAAATGAAAATTAAGGAATCGTTCGTGAATCGCCTTGCGGAGATTCTGGACGAACAGGGAATTGTTCGTGAACCGCCTTGCGGAGATTCTCGACGAACAGAGAATTGTTCGTGAACCGCCTTGCGGAGATTCTCGACGAACAGAGAATTGTTCGTGAAACGCCTTGCGGAGATTCTGGACGAATGGGGAATTGTTCGTGAACCGCCTTGCGGAGATTCTTGACGAACAGGTAAACTATTCGCGAACCGCCTTGCGGAGATTCTAGGCGAATTAGGAAGAACTGGGAATAAGACTGGAGGAGAGGTGAGACAAGGATTGATTGATTGATAGTAATTAGTAAAAATTTAATGATTATTAACTGTTCAAAATTATTTGTCATATTATCAGACATAGATTTTAAATTATGAGATAGTAAGATATGGGAAAGGGAGAAAATAAAAATTATTCAAATTTACTCACAACTCGTTGGGATCATTAAAATAAGTGCGTTGATAAAATTGCAATGGCTGAAGGAGATTTATAACATGAAGAGCCGAGTAATGGAGATGTTCATCAGAAATTTCACATGATGCACAATTAAATGTTAACAAAATCATTTTCACTGTGATATAAAACAAATTAATAACTTAATTGCATAATGCAAGAAAAGGATCCCCGAGGCTATATAATTTTAAAATTGAATGACTGAATCTCGACTGGAGCTGTCAACTGTACTGCTTATAGTGCTAGTTAGTGCTTATTAGTAAACGCTTAATGAACTCTCTCGCCTTGCGCTTGCATTTTTTAAAGTTGTTGCTCCTCCTCCTTACTGGATGGTGGGAATCTTTTTGTAATAATTTCAATACTCTCTTCTTAAGGACAAAGAGGTTGATTTTTGGGAGGAAATCGTTTCTTAAGATTTTTATTGGTTAAGCCCTTTGGCTCAAGACTTAGCTCCATCCAGTAGAGAGAGAGAGAGAGCTGTGGGAGTGATCTGATTATCTTATCACTTGACGATTCGGCGATTCGGAGAACGCTTGAGGGTGGCCTGTCGAACGAGCGCACGTGCACTATCAATTTCAAGAATATTGCTGTATGTTTAGATTTTGACAATCTTCCCGAGAACCAGGTCTTTATTTTAAAAGTTCTTTAGATAGAGAGGCTTATAATTCACGAATTTATTTAGAGTTTCGTTAACGCTATCTCGACTGGCCATTCTCAATATTAGATTTGTTAGGTTTAAATGATTATATACACGGGTTAGGTTGCGTTTTTCTATGCGCTATCATTATTCGAAGAAGGATTGCTTTGTGCTTCAAATGCAAACCGATCCTTGATTTTTCTTTCACGGTATCATTTCGAAGAAAGAAAAGAATCGTGGAGTCCACCGGACGTAACAGCATATTCCGGCCGGCTTATTCTTCAATGCGTTGTTTAAACAGATCAATTGTTGTTGGTAAAGTTCGGCAGTGATGGTTTGGCTCTGTTTTAATAGCTCATGATACACTACACCTCCCTGAATATTCCGCTTTAGTGTCGATGTGTATGGTTTTCCTGGGTCGCAAATGGATTTCCTTCGTCCTTCGATTATCGAAATATCCACTTTTCGTCCCCAGTCACAATATGATGCAAAAAATCTTTTCTTTTTTGCCTCGCAAGCAAGATTTCAGACATAGCTTTACGCCTCTCGATGTCTCTTTCTTTCAGTTCGTATGGCACTCATCTTCCTTCTTTGTAAATTTTTCCCATGGCTGCAAAACGCACAGAAATCGTTAATCGATCAACACTCAACAATTGTGCGAGCTCATGTTGCGATTGACATGAATCTTCATCGATTAGCGCTTGCAATTCCTCATCCTCGAACTTCTTCGGCTGACCTGGACGAGGTTTGTCATTGACACTGAAATCATCACTTTTGAAACGTCGAAACCATTCTCTGCATGATTTATCGGTAGGAGCATTTTCACGATAAGCTTCTACGAGCATTCGATGAGCTTCAATGGCTGATTTCTTCAAATGAAAACAGAAAATGAGAACTTCCCGGAAATGATGCTTTTCGGGCTCAAATTTCGACATTTTCGAATCAGATAAATACGATGTAATTGTTACAAACTCAAACGTTTATCAACTGAATATTATTGCCAGATGTCAATGCTAAACCATAAAGCCTTTTGCAGACATTAGAGGTTAAAAAATTAGATAGTACAGCAATTAACCGCCAGATGGACCGAATTAATTCATACACCTAAGTTATAATAAAGCCATTTTTTAGTTTTCTAGTAAAATTGAAAATTTTCATAGAAATTTCTTTTTATTAGCGCATAAAATAATCTTACATTTTTAATTATATTACATTTACATAATAATGTACACGTAATAATACTGTATAGTTATAACATCTGCATAGTTATAACTCGTTTTTAATAGGATAAATAAGCAAATAAATACACATTTAAAGATACAAGAGTTATGTACACATACATACATACGTGCATACACACATGCACACACACACGCACGCACGCACACGTATGTACGCGCGCGCGCGCACACACACACACGCACACACACACACACATAAAACTCTTATATCTTTAAATAGGGGATCTTAAATCTTTAAATGAGGGATTTACAATAAATGGCGTAACTTATGTTATATCGCATCGGACACTTCTGTAACTATATTCATGTCAAAGCTCTGTCATTAGGCTTTACTTTTTATTATGTGTCATTTTGCTGAAGTGTAAACAACATATTTTTTCTCAGCTCCGAAGATGTCGAATTACGAGCTAACAAAACACTGTTTGCGGGAAGTTTTACTTTTCCTGTTTAATTCAAAGAAAAGTGTTGCTGAAAGTCATCGAGTGCTGTTGGAAACTTACTCCATGATGAACATACTCCATCGATAAAAACGTGCGAGTATTGGTTTCGACGTTTTAGAAGTGGTGATTTCGATACAGTTGACAAAGAATGCCCTGGTCAACCGAAAAGTTCGAAGATGAGGAATTGGAAGCATTACTCGATCAAGATTCATGTCAAACGCAAGATGAACTTGCTGAATCGTTGAATGTTGATCGCACAACAGTTTCCAAACGTTTAAATGCACTCGGTATAATTCAAAAGCAAGAAAATTGGGTGCCATACGAATTAAAGCCAAGAGAAGTTGAACGGCGATTTTTCACGTGCGAACAACGGCAAAAAAGAAAGGGTTTTTTTGCATCGTATCATCACTGGCGATGAAAAATGGATACGCTAATCCTAAGCGTAGAAAATCGTGGGGTTTGCCTGGCCATGCATCAACATCTATGGCAAGGCCGAATATTCATGATTCGAAGCTCATGCTCTGTGTTTGGTGGGACCAGCTTGGTGTTGTGTACTATGAACTGTTTCAACCGAATGAAATCATTACTGGTGAACGCTACCAAACACAATTGATGCGTTTGAGCCGTGCATTGAAGAAAAAACGGCCGCAATTCGAGCAAAGGCACGATAAAGTAATTTTTCAACATGACAACGCTCGACCATATCTTGCTCGTGTAGTCAAAAAATATTTAGAAACGCTGAAATGGGATGTTTTACCCCACTCGCCATATTCACTAGATATTGCTCCATCGGATTACTACTTGTTCCGATCCATGGAACACGGCCTGGCTAAGTAGCGCTTCCAATCTTACGAAGATACGAAAAATGGATCAATTGGTGGATAGCAACAAAAGATGAGTCGTTCTTTTGACACGGAATCCGTATGCTGCCAGAAAGATGGGGAAAAGTAGTGGCTATCGATGGACAATACTTTGAAAAATAATAATGTACACAATTTTTCACAATAAAGCCTTGAATTTACAAAAAAATTCCCTCAAAATTAATTCACAGAGTATAATAATATTGCATAATTATAACATAACTTTTATTCATTGGAATAAATGAGCATATATAAATACAGTTATTTATTTAAAAATATTAGAATTTTATATATATGTGTGCGTGTGCGTCTGTGTGCGTGCGTGCATATATATTTTAATGTAATATATATATATATATATATATATATATATATATATATATATATAATCTTGTATTATTTCATTTACTAAAATTTACATAATACAATAGAATAAATATATTCATTATTGACAATAAAATAATTATCTATTTTTATTTAATTACTACCGTGTAATATGTGACTCATTAACTATAATTTGATGCATATTTTGCTATCATTATCGTACAGAATACATGACTGTAAAATAAGATAGAGATGTATTTGCTAGCTGTAATGAAAAATGGTTGAATTATTACTTTTGTTTAGCTTCTTTCAAATTTGTAACACATTTAATATATTAATATATAAAATTTTACCGTAGCAAAACATTGTATAGATGCTATAAATAATCCACCAATATTCAGACCAAAAGTCTTGTTGCCTCTTTGTAAGAGAATCAATATCAGCTTTTGTATGTTTAGCGGAATTATATACCACCGAATTTGATATCTATAATAATAATAGTGATGGATTAACAACTTGGGAAAAATTAAAATTCTTATTAAGTAATTTTTAACATATGTATAATTTCACACACATACACACATACACACACACACACACACACACACACACACACACACATTAAATTTGTAAAAAATATTTACATCATCTACATTATTAAATGTGTGTGAAGCTGGCGTCTCATTACGTGGAAACTCATTAATTATTGAGAGTTTTGGCTTTATTTTTAATAGTTTTAGAGTTCTTGATGAATTAAATTAATAGTTCTGGCCTTTAAAGCAAAAAAATAGTTTAGGACAAACTGAAACGCCAAGTTCACAGCGTCTCACTTTGTCCTACGACATTTTCCTTATCAGTAATTGTCAGAATTCAAAAGATACATAGTTCTATTAGAGTTCTAAAGATAGTTCTACATTTTGAAAGTAGAAAATATTAATTAAAATAAAATAAAGGCACTCGGATTCCTATATGTACCCGCATAGACATGAGACGCCGGTCGATTTCTCATAGTTCTGATTATTCTAAAACAGTTCTGGTATAGCTCCGGGTATATATAATGCCTTTCCATAAAGTTTTGATTATAAAAATAATTAGAAATTTTTTTAAACAATTATTATTTTTGAAAAATGCATATTTTCCAAGATAAAGGTGAGAGACGCCCGATGATTTCTCAGAGTTCTGATTATTCTAAAACAGTTCTGGTATAGTTCCAGGCATTTTAAAATGTAGAACTATCTTTAAAACTCTTGTGGCGTTCTGCCATACGCCACACAAGCGTAACGGCGCATAGCGCCGAGCGCCTGAACGCACGGCAACCTAGGCGCGCAAACTAGTGCGCGGCAGCCCGGGGCATACAGGCGCCGATCTTCGCGCAAGTGAGATCCGGCAGCGCCCGTATATAAGGCCGACCGCGGAAGGCCGAAATCGAGTCTCAGCAAAGCAACTACAGGGTCAATAACACTGTACGTTAACCAGCTCGAGTACTCTTTTGGAGTTTTTTGTAACTCCCCAGTAACCGACAGGTCTCGGAATTCTGCATCAGCGGAGCCGCATACCTCGGCCGTCGTCGACGCCCCGATCACCAGGGCCGATCCGACAGCACCCGATACACGGAGGCGCCGAACCAGCGAAGCGAGTGTCTCTCGAGCTCCTGCTCTGGAAGCTGGAACGGATAGACCTGGAGCCACCCAGATATACCAGGCCTGCCTCGTCACCTGCTGGAAGTCTGGGATGTCCGCATCCGGCGTTACACATCGCCTACCGGACCTTGGGCGATCCCGGGAGCTCTCTCGCCACTGCCGCCTTCACCACCTGGCAGGTCAACCAGAGCTACGCAGACGACAGCAAGGAGCCGAGTGCACCGAGCTACCCAGGCCAGTTTCCAGCCGCCTACAACTGCAGAGCAGGGAACACAGTCGGACTCGGACTGGGAATCCACCACGCAGACGGCAGTTACGCAGACCGAGCCAGCTGCAGAGGTGGACGAGAACAACAACCGTCCTGGGAAGAAAGCGGACGCGAACACCGACCGTCCGAGGCACACCTTGCGCTACACTAAGATCCTACCTAGCATTTCCTACAGGGAGCGCCTGTAGAGACAAATGGTCCTTTTCAGGGCCACCAATAAACTCTGAAATACCAACGGTCCTTTTCAGGGCCTATGTACAAACTGTAAATATACTTAGTGAAACTTTGATTACTGTCGTCAATCAGAAGCGCCCCTATCACTCTCCTGCGGCATCACACTTCTCCTGCCGAATTAAAGAACACGCATTAAGGCGGACACACAACGCACGCACCGCCATAAACTGGTGACCAGCCGACGTTCAGGAAAGAGTGAAACATGCCGAAGAAGGAAAGCACGATCATCGTGGATGATGACGACACCAGCGTGAATCGAGTAGCAATGCGCATTCCACCATTCTGGCCGGAAGATCCGGAATTATGGTTCGCACAGCTCGAAGGGCAATTCGCTCTAGGCGCCATCACCGATGACGACGTGAGATACGGATACGTCCTGTCTAAGTTAGAGCCTCGGCAAGCAAGGGAGATTAAGGACGTCATCACCAATCCCCCTTCCAGCAACAAGTACGCTGCTATAAAGAGCGCATTTATACAGCGACTAACAGATTCACAGGAGCAGCGGATCCGACAACTGCTAGAGAGAGAGGAGCTTGGCGATAGGAAGCCGTCACAGTTCCTCCGGCACTTATCTACACTGGCAGGGACTACCGTATCTGAGGAACTGCTGCGAACGTTATGACTAGGACGTCTTCCCGCGCAAACGCAAGCCATTCTAGCCACCAGGAAGACTGATAGACTCCAGGACGTAGCAGAACAAGCAGATAAGATACACGAGGTGAACTGCAGAACCCTCGTCTTGGCAGCAGAGCATCCGCCAGTAGCTTCCATCAGCAGTCCGCAGAGCACATGGGCAAGCCAGATGGAAGCACTCACACAGCAAGTGGCTACCCTGACAGAGCAGCTGACCCATATGGCCAAGGAGTTGCGTAAAGGACGCAGCCGAGCAAGAAGCCGATCAAGGGGAAGACCACGCAGCAAGACTCCCGTTAAGGAGGGTCTATGCTACTACCACAGACGTTTCGGAGCAGACGCTCGACGCTGTGCACAGCCGTGCACATTCGAAAAAAACGAATAGGGCACTCATTGCTGGCGGCAAATGAAACCAGCCCGACGCCAAGCCGCCTATACATCACGGACAATAACACGAAGATAAAATATCTAGTGGACACTGGATCGGACGTAAGCGTCTTTCCACGGTCCTCCACCAGCACCAGGAGACGACCAGAAGCATACGAGCTGTTTGCGGCAAATGGCTCACCGATAATCACTTACGGCTCAATCACGATCAAGCCAGATTTCAACCTGAGGAGAGCATTTCCTTGGAGGTTCATAGTAGCCGACGTGAGTCAACCCATTATCGGATCCGACTTCCTCGCGCACTATGACTTGCTACCGGACATGAGAAGGGGCAAGCTCATCGACGGAAAGACCGGACTAACAGCCGCAGGCACCAGATGCTATAAACAGGTCCTGTCTATCAAAACCGTAGTGGAAGAAAGCGAGTTCCACACGCTCGTAAAGGAGTTCCCAAGCATCACCAGACCATCGCAAGCCAGGGAAGTGATAAAGCACGGGACAGAACATCACATTCAAACAACGCCAGGCCAACCGGAAGCCTGCAGGCCCAGGAGATTAGCGCCGGACAAACTAAAAATAGCCAGAACAGAGTTCGACCTACTTCTTCAGGAAGGCATCATACAACCGTCAAAAAGCGCATGGTCATCACCTCTTCACATGGTCCCGAAGAAAGATAATACTTGGCGGCCATGCGGAGATTACAGGCGATTAAATGCAAGGACCATTCCAGACAGATATCCGATACCGCACATCGAGGACTTCGCACAGACACTCCACCGAAAGAAGATCTTCTCGACGATTGATTTGGTTAGAGCATACAATCAGATTCCAGTGCGACAAGAAGATGTCTCGAAGACGGCAATAACAACGCCATTTGGCCTCTTTGAGTTTAGATACATGCCATTCGGACTACGCAATGCAGCTCAAACATTCCAGAGGTTCATCAACGAAGTTCTTCATGGCCTGGAATTCTGCTATGCGTACATTGACGACATCCTGGTGGCATCAGCAAATAAAGAACAACACGAGACGCATTTGAGGCAATTATTCGCACGACTCAGCGAATACGGGGTTAGAATTAACCCAGCCAAATGCGCCTTCGGGTCAGATGCAGTACACTTTCTGGGATACCTAGTCACGAAAGAAGGGACTCAACCTCTGCCAGAAAAGATCACTGCCATAAGAAGCTTCCCGCAACCAACGACGGTGAAACAACTGCGACAGTTTCTCGGAATGATCAATTTTTACAGAAGGTTCATTCCAAAGGCTGCGGAGGAACAAGCAATTTTGAACGAAGCTTTGAAAGAACCAAAAACAAAAGGAAAAACACCGATCGAGTGGAGTCCGGAGCGCGAACAGGCATTCAAGCAATGCAAGGAGAGCCTAGGGAGAGTAACGCTTTTGGCTCATCCGGATCCAACGGCTAGTCTTGCAGTAACGACCGACGCGTCGGCAACTGCAATCGGCGCCGTGGTATAACAGAAAACGACGGATGGGTGGCAACCTCTAGCATTTTTGAGTAAAAAACTAAGTGCGGCACAAGTAAAATACAGCCCATACGATAGGGAATTACTAGCCATATACATCACCGTCAAACACTACAGATGCTAGAAGGAAGAATATTCACCATCTTCACGGATCACAAACCCTTAATACACGCCTTCAAAAAAGATCCTATACAGAGCTCACCAAGGCAAGCGCGACATCTAGAGTTTATAGGACAGTTCACGACAGATATACAACACATAGAAGGCAAGGACAATACAGTGGCCGATACATTGTCACGGGTAGAAACCATGCAAACGGCCGTAGAACTCGATACAATAGCACTAGAACAGAAGAACGACGAGGAATTGCAGGAACTCCTGCAGTGCGAACATAAACTTAAATTGACGCAAGTCTCGGTGCCCGGATCAAAGAAATCAGCATGGTGCGACACCAACACACCGGTCGTCCGACCATACGTACCTAAGAGCCTACGGAAGAGCATCTTCCAGTACCTACACGGGTTATCACATCCAGGAACGAAGGCTACAGCCAAGCTCGTAGCAGAGAGATACGTGTGGCCAGGAATCCAGCAAGACTGCAAGGAATGGGCACGAGCATGCATTCAATACCAGAAAGCAAAAGTGACCAGGCATAACCACACGCCGACTGGAATTTTTACACAACCAACACAAAGGTTTCAACACGTCCATGTCGACATCGTCGGACCTCTACCCGTGTCCGAGGGATACAGGTACTGCTGCACCATGGTTGACAGGTTCACGCGATGGGCAGAAGCGATTCCGGTACATAATATCACGGCGGAAACAATAGCCAGGCACATCTTCACGGACTGGATAGCGAGGTTCGGCACGCCAGCTCGAATTACGACGGACCAGGGCCGGCAATTCGAAGCTGAGCTGTTCAAGGACCTGACCAAACTAACTGGCACTAAGCACATCAGGACCACAGCATATCATCCAGAAGCAAACGGGATGGTGGAGAGATTCCACCGCCAACTGAAAGCCGCAATCAAATGCCACGAGACGGAGGCGTGGACCCAAGTCCTACCCATCGTACTATTAGGCATCAGAGCAGCCTGGAAGGAAGACATGAACTCCACTCCAGCAGAGATGCTATACGGAGAGCCGATACGCCTTCCAGGTCAATTCTTAGACGGTAGCAATCCACTCAGGCAAGGATAGAAGGACACATTGGTAACAAGGCTAAGGAAGGCGATGATCCGACTACAACCGACGATCAAACATCACGCCAGGAAAACCACCTTCGTCTTCAAAGATATGGAAACAGCCTCACACGTATTCGTACGACACGACGCACCAGCCGGAGCTCTTCACCTACCGTACAATGGACCATATGAGGTGCTGAACCGAAGCGCCAAGACGTACAAACTACGCATCAGGGACAAGGCTGTCAACGTGTCACTTGACAGACTAAAGCCAGCCTACATCTTGGATGATGAAACGCCAACCCGCGAGGTGTCAAAGACCAACCCAGAGGCTACATCCAAGCATACGAGAGCAGGACGAACAGTACGTCAACCGGTACGATTTACAGCCAATTAGGATCAGCTTTACCACAACCAGGGGGGTCCTGTGGCGTTCTGCCATACGCCACACAGGCGTAACGGCGCATAGCGCCGAGCGCCTAAACGCACGGCAACCTAGGCGCGCAAACTAGCGCGCGGCAGCCCGGGCATACAGGCGCCGATCTTCGCACAAGTGAGATCCGGCAGCGCCCGTATATAAGGCCGACCGCGGAAGGCCGAAATCGAGTCTCAGCAAAGCAACTACAGGGTCAATAACACTGTACGTTAACCAGCTCGAGTACTCTTGGAGTTTTTTGGAACTCCCCAGTAACCGACGGGTCTCGCAATTCTGCATCAGCGGAGCCGCATACCTCGGCCGACGTCGACGCCCCGATCACCAGGGCCGATCCGACAGCAGCCAATACACGGAGGCGCCGAACCAGCGAAGCGAGTGTCTTTCGAGCCCTGCCCTGGAAGCTGGAACGGATAGACCTGGAGCCACCCAGATATACCAGGCCGCCTCGTCACCTGCTGGAAGTCTGGGACGTCCGCATCCGGCGTTACACATCGCCTACCGGACCTTGGGCGATCCCGGGAGCTCTCTCGCCACTGCCGCCTTCACCACCTGGCAGGTCAACCAGAGCTACGCAGACGACAGCAAGGAGCCGAGTGCACCGAGCTACCCAGGCCAGTTTCCAGCCGCCTACAACTGCGGAGGGAACACAGTCGGACTCGGACTGGGAATCCACCACGCAGACGGCAGCCACGCAGACCGAGCCAGCTGCAGAGGTGGACGAGAACAACAACCGTCCTGGGAAGAAAGCGGACGCGAACACCGACCGTCCGAGGCACACCTTGCGCTACACTAAGGCCCTACCTAGCATTTCCTACAGGGAGCGCCTGTAGAGACAAACGGCCCTTTTCAGGGCCATCAATAAACTCTGAAATACCAACAGTCCTTTTCAGGGCCTATGTACAAACTGTAAATATACTTAGTGAAACTTTGATTACTGTCGTCAATCAGAAGTGCCCCTATCACTCTCCTGCGGCATCACACTTCTCCTGCCGAATTAAAGAACACGCATTAAGGCGGACACACAACGCACGCACCGCCATACTCTAATAGAACTATGTATCTTTTGAATTCTGACAATTACTGATAAGGAAAATGTCGTAGAACAAAATGAGACGCTGTGTGAACTTGGAGTCTCAGTTTGTCCTAAGCTATTTTTTTTGCTTTAAAGGCCAGAACTATTAATTTAATTCATCAAGAACTCTACAACTATTAAAAATAAAGTCAGAACTCTTAATAATTAATGAGTTTCCACGAAATGAGACGCCAGCTTCACACACACTTATTAAATTTGTAATATGACTATATATTATAAATTACAATATTCTTACGCAGCAACATATATATAATTATAGTGATCTGTAATTTCTTGTCCGACTAAGTTTGCTAGAAACATATATGTAAAACTGATAAATCCTGCTATAAAGGACATTGAAAGTTCATCAGCATTACATGTTGATGATACAATCTGAAAAATCTAATATGTAATCAAAATATTAATATTAAAATTTCTAAAATTCAATTAAACGATTAATATCAAAATTTCTAAAGCAATTTAAACAGTATATAATTTACAATAAAATTTGTTGAAAATTTTATCGTATCGGATATTAACTTTTTAAGCTGTATCGATCATCATATACGTTCGAAATAATTATATATTATATCATTATAATATATTTCATTTTTACTTTATTGTAATGACAATTTCTTTGATTAGTTTAATGTCAGACTTTAAATAAATTTACTTTAAATAAATTTATTAATTTTATTATTAGATTAAATAGATTAATAGATTAAATCCCTTTTAAACTATTAAAAAACTACAAAATGCTAAAGATTTATAATAAGTAAATTCATTTTAAAGAAGGAAATTCATTTTAAAGAAGGATAGCTCAAAAAATTTAAAATAAGACAATATTTCTAAAAATATTACATTTTACTACAAGTTTTCAAACCTAAATCTTGTATTAATAATGAGTGAATTTTTATAACATAAATCTCGTCTTATATTCTTATTTCGATTTTGTTAATAGTTTTTATCTACTGAATAATAGTTTAAAATAACATTTAACAATCTTTACATAATTTAAAGTAATATATATTGTAATATTATATATTACCTACATTATATTAATATCATACATTGCCTAAAATATGCTGTATAAGAAACATTAAGAGATATAATTAAATAAATTTTATAAATTAAATTTTTTAAATGTAGAAATAATAAAAAAGGATTTGAAAAGAGATTTTATTTATAATAATTTTACTTTAAATAATTTATAGTACTTATAGTATTTACAATACAATATGTATAAGATCCAAGAGACAGAAATCTATTTATATAATTTTATATATCTCGCATATCTTAATACATGTATGTATCCTGATATGTATTTTATATATATATATATATATATATATATATATATATATATAATAAAAAAATGAATATTATACAAGATATTTTACGGTTTATGTAAAATTAAAAAATGATTTCAAGCCTCATAATTCGGAAAGTACTTAATGAAAACTAACTTAATTATAATGTTTCCGAAAGCTCTCAAGATAAGCTATAAGAATACATAATAAAAAAAAGGTTCCTTTAATAAAATTAAGTTGATCTTGAAATCTCCTTAATGCCTTTATCTATAAAAATATCGTTTGTACCATACGATGTCCCACACTATGTCAAACATCTTTTGATATAAAAATTTTTTCATAGCTCTTCAACTTTAGCTAATATTCACATCGGTCACTTTATATGAATCACCCTATATAGGGTGTCCCATTTTATATGTCCACCCCAAATATTTCTCTCATTTTTGATTTTAGAGAAAAATGGTTCAGACATGTTTTCTATGGTTTCGAGGGGGCCATAAAATGGTACCATTGATTTGACCTTGAAGAGTCATTTGAAGGTCACGTGAAGGTTACCCCAATTTTTTAAAATGGCACCCCTTATTTTTTATTACATATTCTTATAGCTGACCTCGAGAGCTTTCCAAAACAATATAATCAAATGTTTTTTCGTGAAGTGACTTTTCGAGTTATAAAGCTCCAAGTTTACAAAATTTTGATAAAAATACAAAATATTTCGTAAAACATTCACTTTCCGATAGTCTTATCTTACATGATCCAGCAAGTCAAGGCAAGATCCGAGCATGATTCAGCCATTCAAGGCAAGATGTTTTTTTGTATACAATTACTTTAAGTGTTCAAAAACTTGGCCATTTACTTGTATGCATAGCTCTAGTCTATGGTGAAAGTCATCCCTAACTTTTTCAAGAACACCTACATTAATATTTCTGCAAGCCTATCTGATCCGGTTTTTCATATTTTCAACGGTTGTAGGCTTTTGCGAATAAACTATATCTTTAATGTAGCCCCAGAAATAAAAATCTAGGGGCATCAAGTCGGGTGATCTTGGGGGCCATTTTTGAACTCGGCTGCCCAATCAACCTATTCGGAAATCTATTGTTTAAATATTGTGTAACGGCTCGAGATCTATGAGCCGGTGCTCCATCTTGTTGGAACCACATTCGTCTGAGTAAATCATTGTCGACATGTCTCAAGAGGTTGGGCAAGTCATCTTGAAGAAATCTTAGATAGATTGCTGCATTGAGATTTTCTTCAAAAAAATATGGACCAACAATAACATCTTCTAGGATGCCTGCCCAAACGTTAATGGACCACTGTCGTTGGAACTCTTGGCTTCTCTGCCAATGTGGATTAGCATCTGAATAATAATGGCAGTTATGTCTATTAACGCTTCCTCTATTACAAAACGTGGCTTCATCAAAAAAAAGCGTATCAGCAATGAACCGGGGATTTTGTTGGATTTGATCTCGAGCCCAATTACAAAAACATACACGGCGTTGGTAGTCCCTCTGTTCCAATTGCTGAGTTAGATGAATGTGATATGGGTGAAACTTATTGAGCTTGAGCACACGATTGGCTGTTGATTTAGATATACCGTGTTGCCTCTCAATTTGTCTCGTAGAGATTTGAGGATCCAAAGCAACAGCACCTATAACAGTCAACGATGTGACTTTATCAGGGCCCGATTTTCGCCGGTTTCTTTTAAGAAAACCCTGTTCAACTCTGTCGCAGAGTCTTTTTATTACTTTCCTATCAGGATGGCGTCTGTCTGGAAATCTTTCAGCATAAAGCCTTTCTGCTGCCGAGCAATTATTCCTGGCCTCACCCAAAATGCGAATCATGTCCACAATTTCATTTGGTGGATAAGCAGCCATAATTATAAAGAAAAAAAGCGACCAAAATATCAAAAATTCCTGTCTTATCAAAAAAAAGTCAATGGATAATAATATGCGTCTGTCTGAGACGTCGCCAAAATACCAAAAGTTGCTCAAGTAAGAAATTTAAAACAAGTCTCTTGATATTTGTTTCATTAAAAGAATTGACAATTGCATTTTCACAATTGTTACAGTTCATTAATTATCAGGAAATACAGGATCTCGCCTTGACTGGCTAAATCATGCTCGGATCTTGCCTTGACTGGCTGGATCATGCTCGGATCTTGCTTTGACTGGCTGAATCATGTTCAGATCTTGCCTTGACTGACTGGATCATGCTCGGATCTTGCCTTGACTTGCTGAATCATGTAAGATAAGACTATCAGAAAGTGAATGTTTTACGAAATAGTTTGTATTTTTATCAAAATTTTGTAAACTTGGAGCTTTATAACTCGAAAAGTACTTCACGAAAAAACATTTGATTATATTGTTTTGGAAAGCTCTCGAGGTCAGCTACAAGAATATGTAATAAAAAATAAGGAGTGTCATTTAAAAAAATTGAGGTAATCTTCACGTGACCTTCAAATGACTCTTCAAGGTCAAATCAATGGTACCATCTTATGGCCCCTTCGAAACCATACAAAACATGTTTGAACCATTTTTCTCTAAAATCAAAAATGAGAAAGATATTTGGGGTGGACACTTAAAATGGGACACACTGTATTTCATTTTCACTGTTAATTTACTATGCGAACACAAGATTTTTATTGTCATAGTGCGCAGGCGTACTCACACGTACGCTTATACTCACATGTCCGCTCAGCTGCAGTTGCGTGCTGCTGGCGTATGCAGTCTGGTAACAGCGTGCGAGAGCTAAGACGTTTCAATAAAAATTTTGTGCTCGCGCAGTAAATTAACAGTGAATATGAAGTATACTCCGCAGGAATATACGGATATGATTGTGGTATACGGACTAGCGGGAGAAAATACTTATCATGCGGCCGCAATTTACATGGAATCATTTCTCAGGCGTGCACGAAAATTAAGTGGCCGTACAATTTTACGTGTTGTGCAATAATTATGTGAAACTGAGTGTCGTGCATAATATCGGGATAACCGGTCCAGCAGTGCGTCTTCGTGTACGAGATGAAGAAAAGATTCTTGAAGAATTTTATCATCGTATCACATTATCAACGTGTGCAATACATTTTATCGAGGGATTTTTTTCAACCACGAATCAATTTTTGTAAAGGTACTGTCCATTAATTTTTTACATTTACGATATATTCAGCGTATAGTAAATGGCATTTTGAATAATTTTTAAATTGAGAGTGGAATAGGCCTATGGGGGAAACCACTATAAAAAAAGCGCACCATGCTATCTACCGCAAGGTGGTGTGGAAATGATAGCGCATCATTTTCTCGCCACGAAAAGAGGGGACGGGTCATTTTTCGGCGCGGTATTGCGATATATCGCAAACCATGTCTCATGGAGCGACCTGCCCACCGCTTCGTCGCGTTCGTAGTATCAGATTACAGTGGGACGACTCTCGTCGCCGCGCGCTTTTACTCACGCAGATTGGCCGATCTTTTTTATTTAATATTTCGTTAATTATTGCGATAATCACAAAACAATAGAGATCCTTCCTTTTTAATTTGAGCCAATCTTCTTCCTTATTTCGTCAAGGTCAAAAATTGACGGACACTTTGTATTATATATAATTTAACAGGGCGCAGGAACGAGCTTATATTCTACATAATTTTCACTTACGATATACAGGGTGTCTGAAAATGTTTCACAATCTCGAAGTGTGAAGGTAGATTGGCTCAAAAGAAGGAAGAATCTTTACTGTTTTGCGATATTGGTCCGGGCTCACTCACCAATCCCTTCCCACTCACTGCTTCGCCGTGCGTCTAGCATAAGGTTACAGAGCAACGACTTTCATCGCCGCGCGCTTTTATTCACGCAGATTGGCCAATCTTCTTTAATTAATTTTTCGTTAATTATTGCGAATATCATAAAACAGTAGAGATCCTTCCTTTTTAATTTGAACCAACCTTCACACTTCACGATTGCAAAAAGTTTTAGAC